CCCCAAAACCCCAAAACCCCAAAACCCCATGAATCAAGCATAGTTGATAAAAGATTTTTGTTAAAATTATAATAATCATATTCCAAATGTCAAAAGCTAAGCAAGTTTTTTATAGTTGATAATGAAACTGGCTTTGTGACAATCTAATCAAATAAATTCTTTTATGATAAATCTTCAGGATTGATATTATCGCCTGAAATCAAGAATATTTTGATCTGTTGTGATACATTTAAAATTCTAAGCTATTCTCTAATCTTTCTTGCTACTTCAATACCGCTTAGAATGGGCATATTATTATCTAGAAATATCACTTTATAGTTTTCGTGTGATGGACATGAATTACTCTGTTAAAAATTACTCTATTGATTTGAGAACATTCTGCCATCAAATTATCTGCTGCTCTTAATATCTTATAAAACTTTTTCATATGCATCTTAGCCATTGAAAGCTTTGTCAATTTTATAAATGCCTAGTGAGTTCAACATTCCCTCTAGTATAACGATATTAAATGGATCATCATCAGCTATTAAAATTTATGAGCATTAGCATTTCTCCTCATCTATTATTTTCATTTCTATATCGATGGAATCATTTTCAATTTATCTTGAATCATCTATTAGCTACTTTCTTGATGAATCATATTAATGTGTGTCTTTTAATCTTGGAATTAGTTTAGATTTCATAGGCTTAATGTACTCCTGAACTTTTTATAGAAAATTTGAGTCTCTGTATATATTAGACTCTAAGTCTGTATCATAATTTTTTGCAAAGTTTCTTTCAAATCTAGGAATGTGGTCTAGACTTTTAACTTCGAACAATGGCATATCAAACTAAAAGTTAAGATCTTTCTTGCTAAAAATTGACTTCTATCTCGAAGAATGTCTTATTTTGTAGTCTAATTTTATAGTTTTCTATTGAATGGACTATTCAAAGTTATTGATTTTTCTTCTTCTTACTCTATATTTAATAATTTAACTTTATGGGGTACCAGGCTCTTCTGATTCAATGGCATTTATCCTTTTGGGAATAGTTAAGGTAAATGTAGATCCTTTCCCTAGTTAAGATTTTAATGTAATGTCTCCTTGAAGAGCTTATGCTAAATTCTTACTTATAATTAAACCTAAACCGCAACCTTCCTTATTCAAGTTACGATTTTTAGAGTCTTTGTAATAAGGGTTGAAAAGTTTTTCCTGATCTTGCAGATTTATTCCAACTCCTGTATCCTCGACATCTATGCTAAGATTATTTTCAAATTATCTGCTACATCGAAGAATAACATGTCCTTAGCTTGTGTATTTGATAGCATTAGATATAAGATTTATGAGAATTTGTCTCAATCTATGCTCATCTGTTTAAATTTTCTATGGGAAATCATTGCTAATCTCATAACAAAGCTTTATCCTTTTCAAGTCAGCTCTAAACTTAAGTATATTAATACACTCGTCTAGAATATCTCTTATTCGTTTCCATTGTATATTCAGCATTAACTTTTGAGATTCAAGCTAGCTGTAATCTAGAATATCATTCACTAAGTAAAGCATTAAATTAGAACAGTTTTTAGCAGTTAAGAAAAAATTTTTGCCCTTTTCTTGTTATATAGAATTTTCAAGCATATCAAGTGAGTTGATGATTGCCCCTAATGGATTTCTGAATTCATGAGCAGCTGAAGCAAATGCCTATGTTTTAGCTAAAGTTAAATTCTTTTGCTTTTCCAGTTCTATCCAATGAGACATATCTCTTATAGTTGTTACAACAAAAGATTTACAATTAGTTTCTAGAATATTTGAGAAAATCTACAATATTTTTGATTTCTTATTACAATCTTATTAGCTAATTGAAGACTTTAATTTAAAGAATAGCCCATCTTATTAGTTTATTTTTCTACTGTCAGGAGAGATTTCTTTTAGAAAGCCTTCTTAATCATCATGAAGTTTAAATATTTACTGAAATTATATATGATCCCAAAGATTACCACCGTGTATTTCTTATTGCCTTTAATCTTGTTTGGAGCCATTTTTATTAACTTTTACTAGCGACCTTTTCATTTTTTAAATAATTTGAACTTTGCAGTCATCTTCTGTTGAGCCACAATAATTTAGATCTTGATTAATCTCATCTTGATCAAATAAGTTCTTAATCTACTGGTTAAAAAAAAGTATTTCATTTCCTTGAGTAATTGTTATACCATCGTGATGAGATTTTATCAAAGAATATAATAGCCTTAGAATTTGCTTATGATTATTTTTCTGGATAAATAGCTCTCTGTCACGCTTGCATTAATCCCGTGCATAAAAGTAAACCATTGTATAAATCAAAAAGAGAAAAACTATGAATCTATAGTAAATATAGTCATCTATTAAAAATGTTCGAATTCTAAGACTGCAATAAATAATAATTATCAAAAATACTATCAATAATCTTATTTTGCAATAGCAGAAAAATGACAAAGAAGCTGTTACTCCAAACGTCACAAGCTGCAATTCATTTACTAAGCCCATATCTGTTTTAATGTAAATGGAATATTCAGCACAGAGTATTTGCCTGACCAAGATTATCAACATTGGGTAATATAATGAAACACGTTAATATTTTCTGCTAAGTAGATATAATACCAACTCATAAGCACACTGAGCAATATTTGCAATTATAAAAAATACATAATCTTTCTAGTTTAGATAATAGAGATGAATCCATGGATAAGCTCCAATAAAGTACAGTAGAAAGATTATAGTCTAGTAGAAACTAAGAAGACCTTATATTTTGACATTTTCATGCATCCTTTTCTGATATTTACATTCCAACATTTTGTCCTTAAATTTAAGGGAAATCTTATCATACTCGAAAGATGAGTATAGTTTTTAAATCAATTATTTCAGGCCCATTTTGATTAGCATATCATCTTCATTTTATGATTTAGAACTTGCTTTGTATACTTCTGACTTCTTGTTTTTGATATTATGACTTTCAGTCTTTTGTGGTGAGGATATAGAACTCTAATTTTCTTTGTTCATAGTTGTATATTTATTGTATATATATGATTATTTTGGAACCTACTTAAGTTTATAAGTACACTGAATAAATCATACTGTGAATTTAGCTAGCTTTTTTAATTAAAAAATAAAGTAAGTAAATCATTTATCTTTTATTCGACATATAGATCAAATATTTGCACTTTTGGGGTTTTGGGGTTTTGGGGTTTTGGGG